TGAGTGGACCAACCCTTTCTCTAGTTACCCTCTTGCTACTTATGTATGAATAAAAGGCTTTGGGATTTTCCTTAACCCTGTTTGCTAAAGATATTTCATGACCCCTTTTAGCCCTCTTAATTTCTCGTTTCAGATTGGTCCTACTTTCCCGATATTCTTCCAATGTTTTGTCCGTTTTCAGTCGCCTAGACCTTATGTATGCTTCCTTTTTCCTCTTTGCTAGCCTCACAATTTCACCTATCATCCATGGTTCCCTAATCTTGCCCTTTCTATCCCTCATTTTCACAGGGACATGTCTGTCCTGCACTCTAATCAACCTCTCTTTAAAAGTCTCCCACATATCAAATGTGGATTTACCCTCAAACAGCTGCTCCCAATCCACATTCCCCAGCTCCTGTTGAATTTTACTATAGTTGGCCTTCCCCCAATTCAGCACTCTTCCTTTAGGACCACTCTCGTCTTTGTCCATCAGTATTCTAACACTTACGGAATTGTGATCACTATTCCCAAAGTAATCCCATACTGAAACTTCAACCATCTGGCCGGGGTCATTCCCCAACACCAGGTCCAGTATGGTCCCTTCCTGAGTTGGACTATTTACATACTGCTCTAGAAAACCCTCCTGGATACTCCTTACAAATTCTGCTCCATCTAAACCCCTAACACTAAGTGAATCCCAGTCAATGTTGGGAAAATTAAAATCTCTCATCACCACCACCCTGTTGCTCCGACATCCTTCCATAATCTGTCTACATATTTGTGCCTCTATCTCATGATCGCTGTTGGGAGGCCTGTAGTACAGCCCCAACATTGTTACCGCACCCTTCCTATTTCTGAGCTCTGCCCATATTGCCTCACTGCTTGAGTCCTCCACAGTGCCCTCCTTCAGCACAGCTGTGATATCCTCTTTGACCAGTAATGCAACTCCTCCACCTCTTTTACTTCCCTCTCTATCCCGCCTGAAGCCTCTATATCCTGGGATATTTAGTTGCCAATCTTGCCCTTCCCTCAATCAAGTCTCAGTAATAGCAATAACATCATACTCCCAGGTACTAATCCAAGCCCCAAGTTCATCTGCCTTACCTACTACACTTCTCGCATTAAAACAAATGCACCTCAGACCACTGTCCCTCTGCATTCATCATCTGCTCTCTGCCTACTCTTCCCCTTAGCTACACTGACTTCATTATCTAGTTCCTTACAGGCTTTAGTTACTACCTCCTTACTGTCCACCAACCTCCTCATTCGGTTCCCATCCCCCTGCCACATTAGTTTAAACCCTCCACAACAGCATTAGCAAAAGCAGCCCTTAGGACATTGGTTCCAATCCTGCCCAAGTGTAGACCGTCCGATTTGTAATTGTCCCACCTCCCCCAGAACCGGTCCCAATGTCCCAAAAATCTGAACCCCTCCCTCCTGCACCATCTCTCAAGCCACTCATTTATCCTGCCTATTCTTTCATTTCTACTCTGACTAGCACGTGGCACTGGTGGCAATCCTGAGATTACTACCTCTGAGATCCTACTTTTTAACTTGGCTCCTAGCTCCCTAAATTCTGCTTGTAGGACCTCATCCCCTTTTTTACCGATATCATTGGTGCCTATATGCATCACGACAGCTGGCTGTTCACCATCTCCCTTCAGAATGTCCTGCAGTCGATCTGAGACATCCCTGACCCGTGTACCTGGGAGGCAACATACCATTCGGGAGTCTCGTTTTCGACCACAGAACCATCTATCTACTCCCCTTACAATCGAATCCCCTATGACTGTAGCCCTTCCACTCTTTTTCCCACCGTTCTGTACAGCAGAGCCAGCCACGGTGCCATGAACCTGGCTACTACTGCCTTCCCCTGGTGAGCCATCTCCCCCAACAGTATCCAAAACGGTATACCTGTTTTGGAGGGAGAGGACCAAAGGTGAGGTAAATTGTGAGGCACAGATCTGGGAATTAGAGAGGGTGTGATTTGTGATTATTATTATTATTATTATTATTAATATTATTATTATTATCATCACAGATTTGTGATTATTAAATGCACAAAACTAGAAGAAACCCATCGACACATAAAATTTCCTGCTTATATTTGTGGAGGCATTTTTGGGCATCGTTGATCATAACCCTTATCATTCCCTAACCTGTTCTTCCTCCCACCTATCCCCTCCTCCCACCTCAAGCCGCACCCCCATCTCCTACCGACTAAACTCATCACGCCCCCTTGACCTGTCCGTCCTCCCTGGACTGACCTATCCCCTCCCTAACTCCCCACCTACACTCACCTTTACTGGCTCCATCCCCGCCTCTTCGACCTGTTTGTTTCCTCTCCACCTATCCTCTCCTCTATCCATCTTCTATCCGCCTCCCACTCTCTCCCTATTTATTTCAGAACCCCCTTCCCCTCCCCCTTTTCTGATGAAGGGTCTCGGCCCGAAACGTCAGCCTTTCTGCTCCTAGGATGCTGCTTGGCCTGCTGTGTTCATCCAGCCCTGCACCTTGTTGTCTCGGATTCTCCAGCATGTGCAGTTCCTACTATCTCTCATTCTGGGTCTGTTCTGTTCAGCTATCCTCTGTGCCTGTGGATTGTTGATAGGTAGTTTATATTTTAAGCTTTGTGGTAGTACCTGCTTTCTGAGGCATTCGTGCAGGAAGTGCAGTTGTTATAAAATTGCGTGCCGAAAAAAGCTCTGTACTCTAACGTAACTGACCGGGAATGGACATCCACACTGGAACAAGCCATCCTCATACAACAACAAAAAACCACAACAAAGGAAAGAATAGCCCTACAAGAGAAACTGTCCAAAATCACCTACAACAATGACACGGACGACACAGATTCATGGATTAAAAACATCTCAGACCGACCTCTTACAGACACTGAGAAGACCGTCCTAGTACGAAGACTGAATTATAACCACAGAGACGCTAAAAAGACTGACTTCCTGGTTGCACTGGAATCAACACTAAAGAACAACGGACTCACGGAAGAAATACAACAGATCATCAGACAAGCAATAGTCCCAACACTGAGCAAAAAAGGTAAGTGGAACATATTCAACACGGAAGAGAGGAAAGCCCAGGAAAGGCTCAAGAAAGATAGGAACATTGTAATCTTACCAGCAGACAAAGGGCATGACAGTAATCCTCAATTGAGCCCAATACATCGAGAAAGCTCATACATTACTAGCAGATAGACACCTACCAACAGGTGGTGATAGACCCGACACCACAGCTAGCAAACTGAATTACAATGGCCCTGAAGAAATTACACAACTCAGGAGACATCAGCAAGACAGACTTCCAAAAAATGAAGCCAGAGGGATCCAACACACCCCGCTTCTACAGACTCCCTGAGGTGCACAAACTGGGGGTCCCCTCAGATCCATTGTCTCACTACCAGTCGCACCAACATATAGACTTGCCAAAGAACTACAACAGAAATTGAAATACTTAGATGACAACACTACCCATTCGAGATAATGATATCCTTTGATGTAACAGCACTACTTACATCTATTAACATCAACCTAGCCAAGGAGACAATTGCCACATTGCTAGACGAATCAAGTATGCAGACAACCCAGGACACCATCATCAATAATGACACCACCATGAAACTACCAGATCTGTGCCTCACAACCCACTTCACCTTCAACGACAACACATACAAACAAATCAACGGAAAACCAGTGGGATCCCCAATATCACGGCTTATTGCAGAAGCAGTAATGCAAAGGTTAGAACAGACAGCGCTCCCCACTATACAACCCAAACTTTGGGTCCAATATGTAGACCCTGGTGATCATCAAACACACAAAATTAGAAGAAACCCACTAACACATAAACAACATCCTCACTAGGATAAAATAAAATCACAAAAGAAGAAGAGAACACCAACTCTTCCTGGACATAATGGTAGAACGCAAAAACAACTGGGAACTCCAGACTAGCAAAGACCATACATACGGACCAGATACTCAATTACACTAGCAACCACCCCAACGCCCACAAATGGAGCTGTACCAGGACACTGTTTAAATGAGCCGCAACACATTGCAGCAACCTGGAACTATGCAAAGCACAACAAGAGCACCTATACGGAATCTTCAAAAGAAGTGGATACCCGAAAAGCACATTCCGCCGTTACCTCCGAGACAGACCACAACGGGAAGACACAACACAACCAGAATCACTTATCACCCTACCGTATATCAAGGACATTTTAGAGATGACCACAAGAATATTCAGACACCTAGGCATCAGAGTAGCCCACAAACCAACAACCACCCTGCGACAGGTACTGACAAACGTAAAGGATCCCATACCCAAAACTGGCAAAACTGGGGTAATATACAAAATAACACGCAAGGGCTGTGAGAAACACTACATAGGCCAACCAGAAGAAAATTGACTATACTGATACATGAACACCAATTAGCCACCAAGAGACATGACCAATTCTCACTTGTCTCATTACACACGGACAAAGAGGGACACAAATTCGACTGGGACAATACATCCATAATCGCACAAGCGAAACAGAGCCATGCCAGGGAATTCCTGGAGGCCTGGTATTCTAACTGGAACTCCATCAACAAACACATTGAATTGGACCCTGTGTACAAACCACTGAGAAACAGAACTGGGAGTTGAACCAAATACCCAACAAACTGAGGCATATAAATAACAAGCGGGACGGAACACCAACATTTCACTGGAAGCACACTGACAATGTTACCTAGCAGGGTGACGAAAGGTTTGCAACTAAACACACCGACTCAGTGAGCATGTCTACAACCTAATATTCTATATCTAATGCTTGATTAAAGAGGAGAAACAAATTGAGCACGGATTCGGATCTCTTTTCAATTAAACAAAATATTTACACATTCTCTTCAATAATTCTTGCAAAATCAATTTTGAGGGATCTGCAATTATAAGTTTGTGCCTGATGGGCTGGGCTTATATGTCATGTGACAAAATATCCAGTTGGTCAAAGCTCGTCTGATGGAAAAGTGCCTCAGTAAAATCAGTACAGATTTTATATGACGTGTCAGTTGGTAGATCTACAATATTCAACCCTCTGCCTCTCTGAAGATTCCACTAATTTTGCTGAATTCTAAACTAAAATGAAGTATCTAGTCACAGAATTTCTGTTCATTTTGAGCTGGAGTCTCACCTCTTCTCTCTATTTTCATCAGGGGGAGAAAGAAGAAAAGTGTATCATAGAGGACATTCCAGGTGATACCCTCGTTACAGGTGAGAGTGTATACATATCGTTGCTATTTCAACAAAATCCACAGAAAGATTTCCTCACTGATTAAGAAGATTTAAAACACCTATGATATTTTTTACATAAGTCACAAAATTACTCGCTTTTTTAACCATTGTAGATGATTAAGGTAATATGAGTGATGGTAACGAAATACAACCTAGTTTATCAAAAACTAAATTAGTGTTCATTTTTTACAACTCTATTTTAAATTGATTGGACATTCCACACATCTCTATTTTCATCATTATTGTCTTTGCCAATCTGCCATTTCAGTGAATGACTTTGTTGTCAATAGATCCACAGCAGTATGTTTATAACATTATAAATGGGAATCTTTGTTACTCAGCATTTACATTTTATTACTGTAAAATTAATTGAAGCTAAAAGTTTCTACACACAAATTAAATAACTTGTAAATCATGAAGGAAGTTGTCTGTTACTGTTAAGCTGAAAAGATGTTCTACACCACCTGCAATATTCTCAGGACAAAAGGTGCACATTGTTTACTCTGAATGTCCTTGGAAGTTTCGTTGATTACGTTCATGTTGCAAAAATGTTTCTTTATCAGTTTGCTAACAAATTAATGCTATGCAATAATGAATACTGCACAATAGTTCTCATTCTCAAACTCTAGATATATTGCTAACTGAAGAATATTTACTTAATGAAATCTATTAAAATTTCATTTACAAATATCTTAAAAGGACCTCTCACTCCCGAATCATGTGCAAAGGGTGTAGAGAATGAGAGACTGAGTGTTGATAACATTGGCTTTAGCGTGATAAGGTAATTTACTTTGCTGCTCTGTCAAAATGTAGATGATTCTTGAAGACCTTAAAATACCTGATCCATTTTTTCCACAGTTAGAATAACTTTATTTAATCTTTTTTGGTCAGTTGAATTCTAATCAATATACCAAAAATGTAACTGCATATTAATTTATTTCTGGACAAACTGAGAGTTCCTTTGACTGGTTGACAATGCCTGATGCTGTTTTAAAGATGCACTCAAAGATAAATGATCTTCTAAGCAGTACTCAGAATATGGGGAAGAAAATAAATCAGGAGCTAGACGAAACATGTAAGAAAGGTACTATTACAATAACCACTGGGCACTTCAATATACAGGTGAACTGGGAAAATCAGACTGGCAGCAGATCCCAAGAAAATGAATTTGTGGAATGTCTACGAGATGGTTTTTTTGGAGCAGTTCATGGTAAAGCATACCAGGGAGTAGGCAATTCCAGATTTGGTGATGTGTAATAAGGCAGATTTGTTTAGGGAGCTCAAGGCAAAGGAACCTGAGGGGGCATTGACCATAACGTGATGGAATTGGCCCTGCAGTTTGAAAGGGAGAAGCTTGAATCAGGTGTAATTACAATTGAGTAAAGGTAACTATAAAGACATGAGGGAGGAGCTGGCCAGAGTTGATTGGAGTGGGAGTCTAGCAGGTAAGACAGTGGAGCAGCAATAGCAAGAGTTTCAGGAGTAATTTGAAAGGCATAACAGAATTTGATCACAGGAAGAAGAAACATACTAAGGGGAAGACAAGGTAACCACGGCTGATAAGGGAAGTCGAGCATGGCATAAAAGCAACAGAATGCATACAATGTGGTGAAGTTTAGTGGGAAGCTAGAAGTTTGGGAAGCCTTAAAAACTATCTAAGGACAACAAAAAAGCTATAAGGGCGGAGAAAATGAAATATGTTGCAAAATATATATACTATATATAGCTAGGAATATAAAAGGAGATAGCAAGAGTTCTGTTTTAGATATCTAAAAGGTAAGGGAGAGGCAAGAGTTAACATTAGACTGTTGGAAAATGCAGTTGGAGAAGTAGTAATGGGGAACAAAGAAATGGCAGAGGAGCTGACTAGCTACTTTGCATCAGTCTTCATTGTGAAAGACAACATTAGTACACCAGAACCTCAACAGAGTCAGGGACAGAGATGAATATATTGGCATCACTAAGAAGAAGGTGCTGAGGAAGCTGAAATGTTTGAAGATGGATGCATTACCCAGACCAGATGGAGAACACCCCAGGGTTCTGAAAAAGATAGCTGAGGAGATTGTGGAGATATTGGTGGTGATCTTTCAGGAATCACTGGAGTCAGGGAGTGTCCCAGAGAACTGGAAAATGGCTCCTGTTTCAGAAGGGGAGGGAGAATACAGGAAACTATAGGCTGGTTAGCCTGACCTTGGTAAGATTTTAAAGTTCATTATTAAGGATGAGAATGTGGAATACATGAAAATGCATAGTAAAATAGGGCTGAATCAGCCCAACTTTGTCAAGGGGAAGTCATATCTTACAAATCTGTGAGAATTCTTTGAGGAGTTAGTGAGCAAGTTAGACAAAGGAGGGCCAGTGGATGTGATCTATTTGGATTTCCAGAAGGCCTTTGGCAAGGTACTGCACAGGAGGCTGCTAAATTAGCTAACAATCCATGGTGTTAGGAACAAGGAACTGGCATAGATTGTGGTTTGGCTGACTGGCAGAAGGCAGAGAGTGAGGATAAAGGAGTCTTTTTCAGGATTGCATCTGGTGACTAGTGGTGACTTCGGCAAGGGTCAATGTTGGGACCACAATTATTCACATTATACATTAACGATCTGGATGAAGGAACTGAAGACATCTTTCCTAAATTTGCAGATTACACAAAGATAGGTGGAGGAACAGGTAGTGTTGACAGTGGGGAGGTTGCAGTAAGACTTCGACAGGGTAGGAGAGTGGGTAAAGAAATGGCAGATAGAGTACAATGTTGGAAAGTTTTATTATTCACATGGGACATGGGCATTGCTGGCTGGCCAGCATTTATTGCCCATCTCTAATTGCCTCTGAACTCAGTGGCTTGCTAGGCCATTTCAAAGGGCAGTTAAGAGTCAATCACATTTTTGTGGGTCTGGAGTCACATGTAGGCTAGACCAGTTAAGGATGGCAGTTTTCTCTTGTAAAGGACATTAGGGAACCAGATGGGTTTTTCCCTGACAATCAACAATGGTCTCATGGTCATCAGTAGATTCTTAATTCCAGATTATTATCAAATTTAAATTGTACCATCTGCTATAGCAGGATTTGAACCTGGGTCCCCAGAACATCAGCTGAGTTTCTGGATGAATAGGCTATTGACAATACCAATTGGCCATCGCCTCCCCCTGTGTAAGGTTATACTCTTTGGTAGGAAGAACAGAGGCATAGACTTTTTTCTAAATGGGGAAAGGTTTCAGAAATCTGAAGCACAAGGGGACTTGGGAGTCCTTGTTCAGGATTCTCTTAAGGTTAACATGCAGGTTCACTTGGCAGGTAGGAAGGCAAATGCAATGTTAGCATTCATTTCGAGAGGGCTAGAATGCAAGAGCAGAGATGTATACTGAGACTATTTAAGGCTCTGGTCAGACTGCATTTGGAATATTGTGAACAGTTTTGGGTCCCTTTTCTAAGGAAGGATGTGTTGGCATTGGAGGGGATCCAGAGGAGGTTTATAGGAATGATCCCAGGGATGAAGGGCTTGTCATATGAGAAGCAGTTGAGGACTCAGGGTCTATACTAGATGGAATTTAGAAGGATGGGGAATCTCATTAAAATTTACAGAACACTGAGAGGCTTTAGTAGAGTGGATGTGGAGAAGATGTTTCCACCAGTAGGAGACAGTATGGCCTGAGGGCACAGCTTCAAAGTGAAGGGACGACCTTTGAGTATTGAGAGATGAGGAATTTCTTCAACCAAAGGGTGATGAATCTGTGGAACTCATTGCCACAAGAGACTGTGGAGGCCAAGTTATTGAGTGTATTTAAGACAGAGATAAGATCAAGGGTTACACGGAGAAGGCAGGAGAGTGGAGTTGAGAAACGTATTAGTTATGATTGAATGGCGAAGCGGATTCGATAGGCAAAATGGCCTAATTCTGCTCCTATACCTTGTATCTGATGGATGTGCCCAAAATCAGGATATCTCCATGTAAATGAGAATGAATTCCAGGCATCTTTTCAAACTGAAACAATGGCCATTTCTCTGTTTTTTATGTACAATGAGATATAAACTACACAATCTTCACATTTTACGTCAGTTCTCAACAATTCACTTTTATTGAATTCCTCATAATGAAGGCACTTGCTTTCAAATATTACAGGAACTATTTTATAAAGCTATGTGCATTACAGACATTTCTTAAAGGAGAATGTTGATGAGTCAGGACTAGCAGTGTAAGTCACCAACACAACATCTATGCTCTCTCTAATTTCTGGATTATGAACTACATGTGGACTGCTGTGGTTTAAAAAGTCAGTTCATGACCTTCTCAAGGGCAACTAGGGTCAGGCAATAAATTCTGTCCAGCCAGCGATGCCCACTTCCCATGGGTGAATAAATAAAACATTGCTTCGGCCACTGCATAGACCTCTGATGTGCGTGCATGCAGCGTCCTGAGAAACTGACTTGTCAGTTGGCATGTGTGGACCCTTGGACCATTTCTTAGAGGGAACCAACACAGTATGAAACAAAACAAAAGTTGATTACAAAACAACAAGGTGCAGAGCTGGATGAACACAGCAGGCCAAGCAGCATCATAGGAGCAGAAAGGCTGACGTTTCGGGCCTAAACCCTTCATCAGA